CCGGCTGGGCCGCGCTGGCGCTGGCGCTGCTGGCCGCCGCCTCGGTCGCCACCCAGGCCTGCAGCTGGCTCTGGCTCCGCTCCGACCCGCCCGCCCTGCGCCCCGACGTGCCCCGGTGGCTGCTCGCCGCCCTCCACCTCCTCCAGCTCGGCTTCCTCTTCAGGTACGGTACCGCACCCCCACCGCTGCCTTCTTCCGGTACCCCCGAGGCATCCCACCCGGCATCCCTCCGGCGGCCCTCTGGTGCCTGCCCCCCCGCCCCGGCCCCTCCGCTCCGCCCCAGCCTCCCCCCTGCCCTCCCACGCTGCCCCCTCACCCTGCTTCTGCGGGGGGGACAGGGGCCCTACCCCCTGCATTTACCGCCCTGCCCGGGGAGCCCCTTGGACGTCCCAACACCCGTGCCCCCATCCCCGGCTGTCGGGATGTCCAAGGGACTCCCCGGACAGAGCGGTTTGGCCCAGCCCCGGGTTGGAGCCCGGTAGAAACATGTCGGTGGGAGCCACCCCCTTCCCTCTAGCTGAAGTTTCCCGCCCATGTCCCAAAGGATCAGGTTTGCTCCGGTGCTGTCACTGCTGCCAGAAGCCTCCTGCCAAATGGAGCAGGGCTGGGTGTTGGATCCTGGGGGAGCAGTGAACACCTCAAAACCTTGTCTCAGCCTCGGCTCTCTCGGCTGTTTGGGGAAGCAGCATGGCTGCACCGTGCCTCCCCTCCGGGGGGAAGAAAACAGCATAAACTGGAGCATTTCAAGTTGTCCTGCCAGGGCAGTGTGAGGACCGAGGGGCGTGCTGCGTTGCCACCCAGCAGCCCCTCACCACTGGCTGGGTCCCCACACAGGTGCCTCCACGCTCTGAAGGTGGGCTGGAAGGTGTGCTGGGCAAAGGCAGAGGAGGAGGAGGAGCAGAGACGCATGGCCTTCCTCTCCCACGACATCAGCATGCTGCGCCTCTTTGAGACCTTCCTGGAGAACACCCCGCAGCTCACCCTGCTCCTCTACGTTATCCTGCGGACAAACAAGGCTGAGCCCTCCCAGGGTGAGGGGTCTGGGGCTAGGGCAGGGGGTCTGCGGGGGTCCAGGCTTGAGGTCAGAGCGGGCTTGGAAGGGACAGACCAGATTGGCTGTCTGGGGGCTGCAGGACCCAGGAGGACACTGTTCGTCTGTCCTTGCTTGAGGTGTCATTCTTCCACATCACTCCTTCCCTTCATGTGATACACAAGAGGGTGGATGCCTGTTGTGCACTTGCATGCCCCAGTGACTATGCTGGGCTTGGAGTGGGAGGTTGAAGCTGGGGGACCTGTATGGTCATTCCCCTATGTGCCCCAGGAGAGGCTGAGGGTCATGTAGAGAAATCAGGAGCCCACTGGGGAGCAGGGAGAAGCTGTTGTGGATGTGGATGGAGGGTGGAGCGCAGGCTGCCGAGGAGGCGCTTTGGTGCCCATCCTGGGGTGGGGAGCAAGTGTCACTGCAGTGAAATGGGGAGCCCAGCCATGTGCTGGTTGGGTGGAGCCAGCATTCATAATCCTCCTGCCTGTGTGGGCTGAGGGCTTCTCTGGCTGGGAGACAGGCTCTGCAGAGCCGCTGGGTCTCATCGCTTTTTCCCCATCTCCTGGGCAAGGGCGGGCACCAGCCTCCTCCTTGGGGAGGGTAGAAGGCGAGGGGAGAGATGCAGGTGCTGAGGCTCTGGCCCTCTGCAGCAGCTGCTTTGTGAGCTGGTGGGATGCTTGATTTAGCAATGCTGGGCAGGGGGAGGTTTGAGCTGGCTTGGGCCCCCCCTCAATCTGCCCTCAGCATCTCTACCAACCACTGTGTTTGCAGGACTGGGGATCTGCACTGCCTTCCTGTGTGTGACCTGGTCTCTACTGGACTACCACCAGTCTCTGCGCTCCTTCTTGCAGGACAAGTATGAGCTGAGCCTGGGCTCCTCCATCATCTACTTCCTGTGGAACCTCTTCCTCATCTGCCCCCGCATCCTCGCTGTTGCCCTCTTTGCCTTGCTCTGGCCCTATGGCGTGGCTATCCACTTCCCGCTTGTGTGGCTGGCGATGTTCCTCTGGGTCAGCCTGCAGGGCACGGACTTCATGGAGTCACCTGGCCCCGAGCAGCTCTACCGGGCCATGGTGGCCGTGATCCTCTACTTCAGCTGGTTCAATGTGGCACAGGGGAGGACACTGTACCGCAGCATCATCTATCACAGCTTCATCCTGGTGGACAGCACGCTGCTGGCCCTGTCCTGGCTCTGGTGCCGGTCCCCCTCTGATGAGCACTTGTACCTCATCCCGGTGGTTTCCACTGCCCTGCCCTGCTACCTGCTGGGGCTGGTGCTGAGAGTCACCTACTACAAGTGGCTGCACCCCAACGTGCAGGCGCAGCAAGAGGGCAGCTTTGATGAGGTGGATGCCAGTGGGAGGACCAATGGGCTGGGGTTCCGCTCACTGTCGGTGCCAGACCTCGTGAACAAGCGAATGCAGTGGCTGGCCCAGGCCCAGTTCCCGGTCTCCTGGCCACTGGGGCAGCGTTTCCTGAATGGGGCTGCTGCTCTTGAGTCTGCTGTCTGAGGCTGGCTTCTCCAAAGTGACTTGCCAGCAAGATAGATTTGTTAGTCCTGCTCCCAGTTCTGTCCCCCCCCACCCCCCAAGGCTGTTTTGGGCAGCTGGAGGGACCTGGCAGAAACCAGGGGTGATGTGCAAGCACACAGCACAGCTCCCATGGCTGTGCCCTCGGGGAGAGCCATGGTGTTTGTGGGGGGGGGTCCAGCATGTTGTGACTGCACTGCAGTGTCAGCTTCTCTGGTTATTTATTATTAGCGTTTTCCAAAAAAAAAAAAAAAAAGCAATGGTTGGTTTGTTTTCTCTGTGCCTCTCCTGTGCCTACTACTGCCATTGCTGCTTGGGGAGGTGGGTGTGGGGGGGGGAGAACTTGTTCCCTCCTTGGCAGTGGCTATCATCTGATCTGTTTCCAGCCAGGGTTTTCCTCCTGTTTTGCTGTTATGGTTAAAGATCGCCTGTTATCAACATGTTCAGAGAGGGACGGGGAAGGAGGCAGGGACTCCCCTTGTGCTGGGAGAGCAGCTGCCACAGGTGGGCAGGGGCAGTGGGGTGCCTGCACCCTGGGGAGGGTGTTGCAGGATGGTGCAGGGTCAGGGCATGTTCCAAGGTGGATTCTCTGTGCACAGAAACATTGGTTCTGCCGTTTGCCAGGTCCCTTGGGCCCTCTCCCTTCCTGCTGCAGGCTGAGGGAGGGGCAGAGCTGAAGCTTGATGCTTGAAGCTGGGCTTGGGCCTAGGCTGGGAAGGTCACCCCTTTGCTGCTGCCCCAGATCGTTGCTTTTCTCCTTCGAGCAGCAAATGCTGACTGTGGGGTGGAGGCTGGCAGGGTGCAGCAACGCCAAGGGAACCCATCCTGGGGGGGGGGGCCAGCGGCTGTGTCCTGGTGCATGGCTGCAGCATGGCTCAGTGCTTCTGGCTTATTACGGACACGTCATAGTCCCTTTGCTGGCATTCGCACCACCACCCTGGGCGGTGCTCCTGACCTGGTGACCAGGCTGGCACTGGCTGTGACCGGTTTCTCAGCTGTAGGTGGCCATTGATGTGGTCAGTGTGGGGCTGTGCTGGCTCCTGGGCACGGACACCAACTGCTTCCCAGCCAGGGCTGCCCCCAGCTTGGTGCAAAAACACGAGCAGGCCCCAAAACGGCCCCTGGCTTTTTTTGCTGTTGCCCAGCCAGCAGCCGTGGCACATACTCGCTGCCCACTGTTGGCCCTTCACCCCTTCCCCTTGCCTCCGTTGCCCACGCTCCCAGCAGGACCCTGTCCCCAAAGGGGAACCCCCCTGTACCAGGATGCAGCTGGAGGAGTATCTGAAATGCTTGTTTTACAGCTGTTCCTGTAACACTGTAAGCCTGTGGCCAAGGACAGTGGCACCACAGCAGAGTTGGGAGGAGGGTTGGCTGTTGACCTTGTGCAAAAGAAAAAGGGAAGGGAAGTTTGTGTGGGACTAGCCAAGCACCATGTGCCTCCCCTGGGCACCACAGCAGAGCGAAGGAGCCGGTACCTCCACTGCTGGTTCCCACAGGACACACCAGAGGATCAGGGTCTCCGGCAGCTGCTTGTGCCAGTGGCTGCGCTGCGACCTGTGGCACCATCACCCTGAATGCCGTTGGTGCCAGCAATCCCAGCCCAGGCCATGGCAGGGGACAGGGACTGACTGCAGGGGTGTCAGAGAACAGGCTGAAGCAGTGACTATAGAAAATAAAGACTTTATTTTTTTTTTTTCCAGTTGATAGGACAGTTCCCATTACACAGACCAAAAGCTCCGCAGCCAGCAATGCCCAGGGCTCACCCCTCTCCTGCTGCCGAAGGGTCCCTGCAAGGGCTGCTGCAGGCTGTGGGAATCCTGCTGCTTTCCATGAGCTCAGCACGGACATCTCCCCCCCAGGCTCTCGGAGGCAGCAAATATTAGTAGATTAGGGGGTTTTTAAAGCTTCCGTAGCTGCAGTGAAGCTGGAGGGGAGGCCAGCAGCACCCAGGGGGGCTTGCTGTCAGCGCCCCAGGCCAGCAGACTGGCTGTCATTCAGGCATTTGGGTTTGTCACCAGTTCAGCTACAGCCAGGTCAGGGGTAACGGGAAAGCATAGAGAAGAAAATCAATGCTTAGATAGAGATGCTGTTCCTGCCATACGAGAGACAGCAAAAGTCTTAAATTCAGCCAGCAGAGGTAAAAATAAAATAGCCAGGTCAACCTTTATTAAACATAAACACAGAAATGTACCATCAACCTCCTATTATAAAAGTACTTTACATACATTCAAGGAAACATCGTATAAATATCGGTATGAAATGTCACTGGCTGCAAGAGTTCAACACTCAGCTAAAATTTTGCCAACATCTTAAAATTTCCTTAAAACATCTTAAAGTAAACAAACACAAAAGCAAAGCCAGCCAGCTGCCAGGCTGCTTGGTACCTTGGGTCCAGCACTCACTGCGAGTGCCTGGGCAAAACACATCCCACCTCCCAGCACAGGCCAGCATGGCTTTCCTGCAAGCTGCTTTGGACGTTAGTGAACCAAAGGGGCCGCTCAGCCATGCCAGATGGTGCGAGGTTAAGGCACAGGGTTTAATCCCAAAGTTCAACCAGCCAGAGTGGCTTCAGCCAGTCTGAACAGGCTGTTTCACAGGCTGGGACATCTCCCACGCCCGCTTACAGGAGACCTTTGGATGGGCTGGGGACCCGCAGAGAGATGTTCAGGATCCAGCACAGACTCTCCTGTGACTGCAAATACATCCTGATCTTCTGGTAACATTTCAGACCCTGGGAGCAATGGGGCTGCTTCTCGGCATAGCTCACTTCCTACCAGCTCCGCTCCGGCTGACACAGTAACGACACCTTCCAGGGACCCCAGCTGAACTGGACTCTATGGACCCAGCAGTAATGGACCTGTAGCCCTGTGGCATCTCTCCCTGCTCTGCACAGGCCCCAAGCTGCTGTGAAACACCAGCACACACCTACATGGGCTGCCCCAGCTGTGTGGGAACACCCGATAACACACCTGAGCTCTCCATCTTGTGTACAAGGCAGATGGGCGAACACAGCCCATGGGCTCCTGCTCCTCTTCAAACCCTGCTGCTGGGCACTAAACAGCACGTCCCCAGCTTGTTCCAGGGGCTCCGCTGGGCCAGCAGCTGCGAGCAGAGTGGCAGCTCTTGGTGCAGCCAAAAGACATCCCCTCCACTGAGCTGTTCAGTAACACCTACAGCAGAAATTGGCTCCTCATATTTTTCTAATGGGACGAGAGGTCATGTTGCTTGCAGGCAGCAGGTTCTACACAGACAGCATGCTCTTGAAGCAGAGAGTTACTGGGGAAATATGCAGACCCAGAGCATCTGCCTGAGATCACAGCACAAAGCCAACACCTAGCAAGGAGCTAGATGGAAAGCAGACCACTCCCAACTCCTGTGACCACCTTGGAGAAAGAGAATCTCCTCTCAATTTTTTTTTTTTTTTAAAAAGTGAAACTGGAGCTAGGAACATGTGGAACAGAGACCTCTGTGTCCAGTCCCTCAGCTCTGGGGATCCAAACTCCTTGCTCTAGCCACCTTCTCCACAGTGGTGACCAAAGCTGGCCCAGGAACAGACACTCCTGGGGCACAGCAGAGCATGTGCTATGCTGGCCCAGCAACTCCCCCAGCACTGACGGAAATTATTCCTCAGTAATTAATGCCATGAAAGGAATGCAGTAGACACATCACCTGCTTCTGTGAGCACAGCCTGAGTGGGTCAGTGTCCTCCCTGAAGTGACATGCTTTCAGACCAGTCCCCCATGGGTCCTAGACGGGTCACACTGGGCTGGAGACCAGAGATCTGGAGGGGTTTGGGTCCAGCTGTGGCGTTGGCTCAGCAGGAGCAGCAGAGGCATGCAGTGGGGCGCAGCAGACATCTGTCCTCTGCGCAGAAACTCAAGGCACCTGCTGATTTGGTGCCACCGGGGTACAGGGAGGAGGCAGATATCGCTGAACACAGCCCAACCTGGCACAAACCCAGTGCTCCATGCCAGCCCCCAGTCTCCAGCTGGCTATTTCTGGCCAGTGGTACTGCAAGTCACTGACTTCAGCCTTTTTTTCCAAGATGGTAGCAGAAAAATCAGCGTAACCATCACTCCTAAGGTCAGCGTCCTCCAGGCTGCCAAGTCACAGTGTCTTAGAAAATTAAGTCCCTCTTAACGTGAGTGTTGTTTCTACCTATGTAGTTAGGCTAATGCAAAGAAGAATACAAGAAAATTGAATCTGATTCTACTAAAAGGAACTTACTCTCACAAATGGAGTCAGGAAAGCAGAGGTGAAGATTAATAACCATACTCTTCTTTGTAACATTCAAGAGGATTTAGTTCTCTCAAATTATTCCTAGTCCAGACAAGGACTCTATTCACATCTGAGCAGTCTGCAATAGTGTTGTGCTGTATCTAATGTTCATAAGCAGTTTTGTTTTCTTTTACAGGGAAAATCTGTGGGATGTATGGTCTGGGTCATGGATAGCTGGAATCCAATGATCTCCTGCTTGTTAACAGGGCTTGTGCACACATTGACTAGAAGCCACCGGGATCAACTCAGAACACCAACAATTTCCTCTATAAGGAACCACGTATCCCAGAAACATTCCCATATCTTTCTATTTTCCAGTAATCCCATGTTGAGGAAATAACATAAGGACATTGTAATAAATTAACTGCTTTGAACACCCAGGGAAGGAGAGAGGACACATTTCACAGCAATAGAGGTATTTTTGACATTTTCATTAATATTTCCTATGAAAAAAAACATAGCTCTTTTCAGCTTTGCGAAACAAGGGAGGGTCAGCTCTGCCATCAGTATTTTTCTATAAAAATAAGTTTTTGTGTTTACTTGGGTTCTACAACTAAGCTGAATAGAAAGGAGAAGGCTCTTACAAATACTTCTGCTGCTGTATCACCCCTTCCCTCTGGAGACTACCTGCTAGAGGAATTCAGCTGGCTTCTGTAAGTCTCTTCTTCAGACAAGCTCTAGCTTTACTGAGTCTAGTGCTTCTTTATAGGACACCTTTGTACTTGGCAGGGCCTGTGCTCCTGAGGAAACAAACTGGTGTCATGTTCTACTGTACAGTTTGCATTAGGTATGTTTTCTTCATCAACCTGAAAAGTGAGTCCCCAAATGTAATAGATTTCTGCCTCCCCAGCGATGGAGAGGGCTTGCAGGAGCTGTAGTCACGCCTTTGCTCCAACTTCTTACAGAAAGTCTAACTCGAGGGCTTGGTGAAGGGACAAGAGGTCTGCATGATTTGTGATCCTCCAGAAAGGCATGTTGTGCTATAACAGAGAGATGACAAAGTCAGGTTTATCGGAGTGATTTTACAGCTCAGTGGAAGCAGTAAAGGTACAACTGTAGTGTTGTGCAATATGGTGTTTTTGACAGCACCGTCTCAGCATACCATGTCGGGCAGGACCTCAGCCGTATGCATATCAGTATGTGAAGCCTATCTTATCTGCACATCTGTTTATGATGGGCACCGGCACTGACTATCAGCTGCTTTGCCCGCTCATGATGGAAATCTCAGTGCTTGGCTGTGAGCTGCTGCTTCACCCAGGAAAGCCTTTCTAGGGCTCCCAGGGAACCTGCGTAGACAACTCTGGCATGTGGCAGACAGTGCAGAGACGATGTCCTGACAGTAATCTGTGCACTTTACTGCCTTTAATTAGCATGACTGAACGACCTACTCAGGCCTGTCCAAATCAGTCAAACTGTTTGTTCCTTGTTTGTAATTCAGACTAATGGTAGATGCTGTGTATTGATCTGACTGCTGGCAAGCGAGTCCTGACTCCCTCCGTGCTCCTGAGAAATTGCATTATCCTAACTGCATGCTATGATCAAGACATGCTACATCAAGATACTGTTTTACAGGGACAATGTTATACGCAATTCTAAACAACAGTAAAACAGAAACTTTAAAGCCCCAAGAGCCAGAAAACTCCCCATTTTAATGTAGTGAAAGATCTCTTGCATCAAAGGCAAAGTTTCCCCCTAGCTGTCCTGGCCTAAAGAGTTCAGCCCTGGAAAAAGAGTCCCTGCAGAAAAAGACTGCTGCAGTAACTTCCCTTTGCATCAACCCACATCCCACCTCTGTGGAGTCAGAAACCCACCTGCTTAGCTGCAACCTCTTCATCACGCCCATCTCCAATTACCACATAGGTGACTTTCTTTCCAAATCGTGACACAATCCTCTCAAAACAGCTCTCTTTACCTGCCAAAAGACAATCCCACTATCATGAGCCTTAGGCAGAGAGTTCTGAACAGAACAGAAGCCTGAACCGGTCCCTTCTTTCCAGTAGAGAAACACATTCTTGTCTTACTGGGAAAAGGATAACACCAGTTCAGCCTGTGAGGCCAGAAGCCACCACTATTACATGGCCAGTTGTACCACAGCAGCCATGGGGGCTGCTCAGCTGCAGAAATTGTATTTCCTGTGTAAAAATCCCAGCTAATCCACAGCAGACGCCTCAGTGCCAGGTACTTAGCACAACTCCTTACCTATTTTTGTAGCACTGTAAATATTTTCGATGGGAAACACCTCGCCCAATCCATACAGGAGAACTTTGGCAAGAGCTGGCACCAGTTGGGTGGTTGTGATCAGGATGTTCACACAGTTTTTTCTAAAAGAAGAAAAAACACTTGTAAAAGCACATCTATGGCCAGTGGTGCTGACAGCTACTCTGGGCAGCTTGCTCAGCTTTCCAAAGAGCCATGTGCTTTGTTGTCCTGCTTTCAAGAGGCTCTTTAGGCCAAGATTTTGATTTGTGGTTTTTGTCTGGTTTTGCTTTTTGTTTTAAACAGACATTCTCTGGCAGAAATGCAATTTTGTGAGCATAGTCCTATTATGGGGACCTTACTAACAGCAGAAAAATCCCAAAGGGTTCTCAGGAGTGGAGTTCCTGCTCACTCACTTTGACTCCCAGTTACCTGTGACAGACAGCAGTAGTATTACATAAGGACACTGCTGCAACACAGCACTGCATGCAAATCTAAGTGAGAGAAAGGGCTGAGAAAGCAATATACACATTTCCAGTTCCCATACCTGGACTGTATAAGTAGCAGGGACTTTAATGCTGTTTCCAGCCAGGAATCTGTTAGCACTTCTATATCGGTCCTTAGTCGCTGCAGAGCTTCCCTCTTCTGCGGGCTAAGAAGGCCTGGAAGGCAAGCAACACAAGTTTTCCCAGCTGAGTTGGCAAGTCTAACACAGAGAGAGCCATCACTCAATTTAACAGCTGCCTGTTCTGCAGTAAACAGCACAGTACTGAAGGCAACTGAAAGCTGAGACTGTCTCAAGGCAACGGGAGAAATCAGCTTCCAGTGACACAGATCAACCCAGACACCCATCTGTTACTCTGACTGTGGGGAATTGGCTAGATACTTTTCTCCAATTATTTAAAACCATTTCTCAGGATACATGCAACAAAATGCATTTCTCTTGTACAAAGCACTTGCAGCAGTAGGCGTGTCTGAGCCACAGACAGCAGGGGAAGAAACTCCTGCAGTCACCCTCTCTGACTTCCTACTTCCCAAGGACCCTTTCCACTTTAATCCATTTTAGATATCTTTTTAATCCCCCCCCTTTTTTTATTCCCATATTTTTTATCCCTTTTAGATAACATTTTCTCAAAGCATCCAGTTTTGAATTAAAAGCAGCCAGAAATGGAGCCCATACACTCAAACCTCCTCCTGCCAGTAAATACAACAAGAAAGGAGCACCTTGAGTTGGAACCTCTCTCCACCGAATTTCCAGCCATGACATACGAACCAGCCCTGAAGTACACCAGTCCTCTGACAATGAGGCCATGGAGGGACCCACTGTGGGCTGCACTGACAACTGCTTTACCATGTGGCTTTAGACAGGTCCTGAAAAACTTTGCATCCAAGTTTCCCATGTGCAAAATATGCAGTAATGGTCTGATCCCTACCAGAAATAAGGTAATTGCAGCATACTGAAATGCAGACTTATATCGATAGATTTTTAAGGCTGAAAGTTACAGTTTTGACCACTTGGTTTTTAGAAAATATGTCCAATAAAACATTTTATCAAGGTTTTTACATGTAGGCAAAGGGTATCCAAACCCACAACCCACCAGGCCAAGTCACCCTGCCAGGTGAGCTGCTCCAGCAGCACCCCTTTCCCAGGGATGTCAATGCCAAGGTTGAGACTAAACATAAAATTCATCTAGATTTGATATCTGTGGTTTGCATCAGTATTACTACTTTGGCATTGGAAGGGAAGCAAAACTAGAAGATTTTAAGCGACTTTGTAAACAGATGGTAGAGATGTTATGTCAGACTATAAGCAAAACAGCCAAAAGGGTGAACACTGTATTTCTTGACAATGGCATGATAAAAGACAGATTTTGTGAAGACACGAGAGAAAAGACCTCCTAAGCAGCGTGATATGCAAGTCATTTAGGCCAGTCCTAAGCAGAGTGACAGGCAGCCTTTCATAGCAAAGGGACACTGCACCAAAATTTTCTCTAGATACAAAATTGACTGACCATCCCTATCTACATGATAACTCACAGACTGCACTGGCACACCATTCAGTTTTGGAAGATGTACCCTCTTAGATTCCATGGAGATTTGATCCCATTTAGCACTAGGAGAATGGTTACTTTTCATGTTCAAACATTGAGGAAAGTAAAAGCTCTGAGGAAGGACGGCGTCTGGCACCACAAACTCTCTTTAGTGCTCAGATATTGGCGCAGGTGAACACTCACCTCCAACATTAGTTTTGTATTTGTCGTAGATCTCTCGTACCCTGCGGTAGCGGAAGGCCAGTTTTCTCATCCAGTCCACTCCACCCTGGACACCAACTGATGAGCTGTGATTTGTGTTACTTCCTGAGCCACTGAAGCCATCCGTGGAGAAATTGTAGTTGCTATTTCAGAAAAGCAGATCTGTTACGTGTGCCACAGCAGCAGAATCACTACAGCTTTTCTGGCGGGGTTGCAGACTTCAGCTCTGACAGCAGCTAGAAAAGCACCTCAGAGAAGAACTCTGCACAACCACCACTGCACCCCAATAGCAGAAACCAACTTCTATGGGCAATGTACTCTGATATCCAACTACATTTGCTGCTGGTTCTGAACTGCTGTACTGAAATGTACTAATTCAACTCTTCTTTCACACTCTCCACTACAAAACCTTCCTTTGGTCTTTGACTGCCCACTCCTCTGTGATACAGAGCATCCTTCCCACTAACCCCTTTCTCATCCTGCAGTGATAAACCCCAGCATAGTATCTTCCAAACATAACATCTGCGTCTTTACACCACAGCTGCAGCTCCACAAGCAGATGAGCTGCTTTACCAGCTCATGACTGCAGGAAGCAGGTCCTGCTTCACCACCTTCCCTGTATTTCTTTCTTCCTGACAGACAGGCACTTCTGACCTTTCCATGAGCCAGTTCAGCTCATTAATGCAGCAGAAAACTTGCCCTCACCCTGCCTGATGGTGTGCACAATCAGCTCACAGAGGGATGCAAACCACAGGGAGACTTTCAAAGGTCAAGATCATGAAGTCTGGAGTGTTCATCCTCCATTCATCACAAGTGATTGAGCACACAGGCAACAATCAACAATGGACAATATAATTCATATTATAATTCTGAAAGTCTTAATGTTTTGTAGGTCTTCAGAGAAATACCACCCAGCAAACAAACACCGTTTGCCAAGTTTCATCCCCTGCACAATACTGACCTCCATTCCTTAACCCCATTTGGGTCTGAAGTCCCCACAGAAAACAGATTACATCAGCTATACATTTCATGCATTCATCAGTACATCACCTTAAATCTTGGCCATTGTCATCAGATGCCACATCTTCAATGTGTACCTGGTCACACTCCTGTTTAAGAAAAAAATAAAAATAAAGTCACGCTGTTGTAATCCAGAAACATACTGAAATTTGCAGATTAAAGAAAGTACGATATAAAAGCCATGCCATATTGCCTCCATAAACTTATACATAGCTTCCATTAGCTTTGAATTCCAGTACTAGGTTTTACTTCTCAGCACCTAGAGGTCCTTGCCAAGACTGCGATTTGAAGTACCAGAAAAGTCTGAAAAAAGCATGTTTCTATGACATTTCGAGTTGTCTGCAAAAAAGGAATGACACTCACTAAACAGGCTGGACTCAAAGCTCACTTGTCATTTGAAACCTTTTTGCCATTTCACAAAACCAAACCAAACAAAACCAAACATATCCCAAAACCACATTATGTGGTCAAGTACTGATATTGCATTTCATCAACATAACAGTCAATCCTGTTACCGGAGAGCCATAGCATGAACCCTGGAGCGAAATATCAGTGTGGTGGCACTGCCAAGGCTCTGGTGCTTAGCACAGTTGATTTAACCCAGAGATAAACTGCAAATACCTTAGGACAAGAAGTGAATTTTCCCCATTTCAAGAACTTCCCACTGCTGCTACTGTCCAACACCTACAGCAATAAGTGTTGTTGTTGATCACATAGTTAACATATCAATGGCTACCTTTCCAGCACAAGAGACTGTATTTGGTGTTTTGTTCTGGTTTGGGGTTTTGGGTTTTTTTTCTGGGGCAGGGAGGTAACTGTCATTAGCGTCTTTGCAAAGTTCACAGCTGCAAGTAGTCACAGCCGCAAATGGAAATTTCATTTAAGTTTCTATTTGTATCAACAAAAACATCTTGTTTTCCCACGATGTACATCAGTGAAGTACCTACAATTAATTGTTCACTGTTCATATTCAGCCTTCCTAAGCTTTAAACTAATCCTGTAAAATCTGCAAATTAGGTTCACGAGTCCATATGTGTGGACTCATATCAAAGAACACACAAGTCAGGAAATTTGCTATTTCCAACCACTTAATTCCAGATTCTGGCATAACTTCACACCTTCTTGTATAGGGCACATTACTGTGCCCATTACTATCTGATAATATATCACAGGACAGCATAGGGCATTGCCATGATTAAAGCAAAGAATTACATTCAACTTCTGTGGAAATGGTGCAGAACAGTGAGATGTATTTAATTTGGCAAAGAATACTGCACATGAAAGAGGATGGAAGCTGATCAGGAGTCCTTGAGGCAGGATGGGAATGGGAAAGCAGCAGACAGCTTGCAAGAAAGAAAAATGGAGGGTTCTGTGAGATTTCCATGTGTACAGCATCCTTGTCTATGGAAGCGTGTCCTTCACAGTTGTTACATAGCCAATGAAATCCACTGAGACCCTGGCCGAGATGCACAAGTTGTATGCTGTCCTTGGCTTAGTCAAAGCCTGAGAACTGATAATCTCAAGGTTACCTTTTAACCCAAATCTCTGGCCTCCATTTCAAAACAGGATCAGTGAAAGCAAGGTGCTTACCAGTCCAGAATGCAAATACAAGACAAAGAAGACATCACTCTTTTTATTTATACAGGTTCAAGTAGAAACCCATCAGAGAACTAAGAGAGCTCATAACACTAGAAGTCTGCAGAATGCCTGTCTCAGATAAAAGAGCACACCTCTTTGATTTGGTTGTGCTTAGAACCACTTCAGTTTTGGCAGACTGTTATGTTTCAGCATTAAGTGGCTCTGAAACACAATAGCCCTCACAAACGGTGCAGTGTAATTCTAACTAGGTAATGTTGAGTTTTGCTTTTCAAAAACATTTGCCACGTACCTCCAAGTCATTGAAAAACAAGTGAGTATCAGCTACTTCAAAAATCATCTCCTCCATTGACAGACCTGAGCCAATCACTAGAGTTGGATCCTGGCAAAACAGAAAGAGAAAATGTAAATTCACTGTGGTTACAGGCAGAAGTAAATGGTGATAAATCTTTCATTAGTTACATTGCACAGAGTTTTCACTGTATATCAAGCCTGATGGAATTCCATCTGCATTCAGTGGTATGAACTACCATTTTCCTAATATTTTAAAGAACTTGATTAAAAAAAAAAAAAAAAGCCACATTCTGGCAATACATTGACCCAAAATGTAACAAAACAGTTCAGTACTGCATTGCAGGGACTGATGCATTTTCAGAGGCAACACAAACAAAACATTCAAAAATCTTCAATATATTTTGAAGGAGAAAAAATACTTCCCTTCACTATGTGCTATGACCTCGATAATTCCCAATGATGATAAAAACAGTTTGACATTTTAAAACCTGTATTGTTTGAAGGGAAGTGTTTGTGATGTCCATATCCTAGCTCTGTGTAAAGCCAAATTTAGTGTTCTTTCCCCGTCCCAAACCACCAACAAGTTAAAAGTATCACATTACACATTTAAAACAAAATATAATTTTCTATTTCTTTTCCAAAGATAAACATTTAATTCTGCATGACAGATATGGTTTTTCTTCCACAGAAAAGACAATATTACCTTGCCGTATTTTTGAGCATAAGACCCTGTGAGAAGTGAATGGAAGATTATGATGGTCTCATCCAGGTCCCAGAGAAACACTCGCTGAGTAGAGAATAAAAGCAGGTTAGAGCTGAGATATTCCAAGCACTGAGATACAATAAAGGAGCAAGTTTTAGGTTAATTTTGTGGTTAGTTGCAGTGTGCTTTTAACAGATATGAACAACAGTATTCATCTTGCAGGCTGAACACATTACTGAACTCTTTCATGCAGTGGAGTTTATATACTGCTACAGTGCAACTACACACTCAGAGTAAGACTCTCTTGGTCAAACTATTCTGAAAACTTTTCTTGCTTTTACAGTTATAAAAGCAAAAACTTAGAGTGCTAATGAACTTTAGAGCCCTGCTAGGGTAGAAGTTTACTGTCTGATCTGGAGAGTACCAGGTAAATGACCTTGGTGTTTATCAGACACCTTTGTTTTGATAAATAAGGCAGATTGGCTGCCATGAGGAATAGCAGAGTTTCAGTATAGAAGGACTTTGATACACTTGAGAACTGGGCCAGCAGGAACTAGAAGTTCAGTTACTGCAGATTCTGCATGTGGGGTAGAATAACGCCTCATATTGGTCCAGGCTGGAAGGAACTGGTACAGTGGACACCAGGCACAGTATGAGCCAGCAGCACTCTCTCCCTGTGGATAGATGAACTGCATGCTGGAGAATACTAAGTGTGCCTACGCTGACAGAAGGAAGGTGTTGTCTCACCCTGCTTGGCACTAGGAAGGTCACCCCAGAATGCATTTCCAGTTGTAGAAGTATGTGAGGAAACTAGAAAGTGGCCAGCAAAAGGCTGTCGAGATGGTCAGCAACTTAGAGAAGAGCCTGAGGGAGCTCCAGCAAAGGGGAGACTAAGGGTGATCTAATAGCAGGCCACAAGTAACTGAAAGGAAACTGCAAAGATGATGGAGACAAATTCTTCTCAGCAGTGGCAGGCAGAAAATTGCTATGGAAAAAGAAGAGGAAATTTTCAGCTTGGGAGATTCCAGTTGGAGACAGGTACAGGATCTCCAACCTGGAGGTTCTCAAGACTCAGCTAGACAAAGCCATGGTTCTAGTGCTGGGGACAGCCCTGCTCTGAGCAGGAGGTTGTACTAGAGACATCCAGATGTCTCCTCCATTGATGCCACTATGATTCCAAGATGTGTTTAAGTGATGCCTGTCAAGGACCACTGAAGAACTCATTTGGGACAGTTCTCAGATAACATGGGTCATGGGAATTTTCCAAATTCTCTCTCATTACAGGAAAGACATGGACCTGTCAGAGAGGGCCCAGAGGAGGGCCACAAACATGATCAGAAGGATGGGAACACCTCTCCTGTGAGCAAACGCTGAGAGAGTTGGGGTTGTTCAGCTTGGAGAAGGCTCTGGGGAGACCTTATTGCAGCCTTTCAATACTTAAAGGGGGCTTATAAGAAAGACGGAGACAGACTTTTTAGTAGGGCCTGTTGCGATAGGACAAGGGGTAATGGTTTTAAACTAAGAGGGTAGATTCAGACTACATGTAAGGAAGAAATTTTTTATGATGAGGGTGGTCTGGGGCTCTGAGCAACCTGATCTAGTTGAAGATGTCCCTGCTCATTGCAGGGGCATTGGACTAGATGACCTTTAAAGGTCCCTTCCAACCCAAACTATTCTATGATACCCTTCCATTTCCATGGAGACAGGATGAAAGAAAGAGACGACTTTTACCACCACACTATTCTGCAATGCTACTTGTAGAAAGCAAGATTACTACTTACCTCCAGTTCACTGTCCTGTGAGGAGGAGGTGTCTGCTTTCCTCTTCCCCCTGTTCTTCCCAGGGATGTTTTTCCTTGCCTGCTCATCTAACTCTTTACTTGCTGTTGCTCTTGATAATGAAGGACTTGTGGATGCATCTCCTAGAAGAAAGAAATCACATGGCTCTTACTCCCTCATGTCTCAAAACAAACACCAACATAAAGCTTATAGCATTTGGCCACAAAGCGCCCTTGCAAAAGGTAAGATGTTATCTTGCTTTATTGATGCAGTAGCAGTTGAACCCTTATTAGAACATAAAACATTATTTCTTTGTCCCATCATTTCAAAACAGCTCTGCCTCCTCAATTCAATTCACCAGGACTGAGCTACTTACCGCATCCTGCCTGCAGTATAATGCCAAAGACAGAGCACCCTCCATCCTAAGGCCTGTAACCCCTCAGATGTCTCACTACCCTGGAACCACTTTATTACTCAATTGTTTCTCTTAATATTTCTTGAGAGAGCACCAGAAACCCTCAGTCTGGAAGGAGTGTACAGAAGAAAGTATTTAACAATGTTTCTCCCTCCCAGATTTCCTGGACTACTCAAATGCCTTTTGTGTCAAGCAACACTATACAACGCATGCTGTTTCCACCTCTGCATACACTACTCACTCCTGTGCCGCTGTAAGCCTTTGGCTAACAGTTAAACAGTAGCCAGTGCACAGAGCTATTTGGAGTGTGTTAATCACACATAAATCCAGAGTGTGCTAACTGTGAAACAGACATACTTAGACTACGGCTCCACTGGCCTACCCAAGAATTCGTAAAGAATAACAGGGATGATCTCGGCACTGGAGACACAGAGTTGGCCAAGCACCATGGCCATGACTGACCAGGATACATTATGGAGCTTATTCTGCTACTGGTAAGAACACCCTTCCCAGGGAAAAGAGTAAAGCACCACCATAAAAAAAAAAAAAATTAAAAAAATAAATCAGTGCTTTGATGTGCACAATATTACAACCATGACAGGAGATATTCTCTGAATCCTTTATTAACAGTTCAGGCAAAAGAATTAACATCCCAGACATCTGCCTAACTAGTTCCGAAACAGGACCAGAACTGTAGCAGGAAGGCAGAGGGGACAGGGGACCTCAAAGAGCTTGAATTCAGTCTGGGTCTTGAAGATGAGACATTGCAATTCCCATTAAATTCATGCAAAATGGTGAACTTGGAGAATTCCTGAGCTAGGAAAATGGCACTTAAAACATTAACAACTGGGCCATTCCCTGACCAATGCCTTGAAATAACAGGTCAATTCCTTAGGTTTTCAACATCAAATAAGAACAAATTCTCATGGGTAAATCTGCTGTTGCTCAGCCCAACTAGAGAGCAACTGCTTCCCTGCAGTGCTAGAAGCACCATGCTTCTTGATTTACAACATCACAGCATGGTGTTTGCCATCCCCTGTCTGTAGCATCCCATAAGGTAAAGCTGAGAGAGGTCTGGAAGTTCCAGACTGACTAGACTGAGTTCAAGACTATTGATCTGTATGCTTTGCTCACTGGCAGCCACCCATCCCTGCTTTCAGGTTGCTTGAGTGAATTTGAGGACTTGGCAGAGTTCAGGTATTACTGGTCTTGGGGAAGATGGAGCAGGCAAAGTGCTGCAAAGGCGATCACTCACCACCTCCCACAAGCAGGCTGATGCCCAGCCTATCTCCAAGCAAGAGCCACCTTGGAAGCTGAACCCCACCCTGCCCTTCTTCCTCTACTTCAGTTTTTATTGCTGAACATGACATCATATAGTATGGGAAATGCCTTTAGTCAGCTCAGGTCAGCTGTGCCAGCTGCATCACCTTCCAGGTTCTTGTCCCCCCTAAGCCTGCTTGCTGGGTGGGGGGGTGGGGGAGGAATTGTGGATGGGAGAAAGCCTTGACACTGTACAAGCATTGTTCAGCAGTAGCCAAAACACTGGTGTGTTACCAGCACTGCTTTAGTGAGGAATCCAAAACACAGCATCAGCAGAGCTGCTATGAAGAAAGTTAACTCCATCCCGGCCAGACCCAGGGCACCAACAAAAATGAACAGAATCTGTTTCGTTTTTTTTCCCCAGCCTACCAATCTGCAACAGGCAGCAGATTTCAATTTAAAACTGTTCAACAACACAGGAAGAATCTCATAACTCCTTGCATAAGACACCGGGAGAAGCACCAAGTCTTTGCTCTTCTCCTTGTTAAGTTTAGAAAACTGTATTTTTGGTGATGAAATTTCAGTCAACACCACTGTGGTTGGTACCTGACATGGCATTAGTGGAAAAAGCCAAAGATGTGACTTCTCTAGAATAGTCAATTAACCCTTTTCAATCCACTTTCTACATCTCTTCTCTTACCAGCTAAAATCTTCTCCGCCTGCCAGGTAACTTAATGGTATGCAGATGCAGATCTGCTCACATGCAAAGCACAGCAGAACAGCTGTCATTTCAAAAACACTTTACATGATGAAGCAGAAGAAAGGAAAGGATGTACTCCTGGGCACATCAGAGACCAACTCATCAAGAGGTGATGGCTGAACTACAGCTCTTGAAAATGCATGAGCAGTCCCGGAGGACTCCCATAACTGGGATTGGCAGCTATGTCATGGCTGTCAGGTAATCTGAATATCTGGCTGCAGGAGGGAAAGAGCTAGCAGGAGCTATTGAGACTGGATATCAACAACTGCCCTATAGTCCAAGTGAACACCCAGCCCCAACACATAACAGAACCAACAGTGCCCAGGGAGCTGCTATTGGCAACTCTTCAAGTCACCCCTGGAACTCACTCTCCCTTGGACATTCAGAGCATGTGGTAGGTGCTTCCTAAATTGCAGCAGTAGAAAACTTCCAATATGTAAGTTTGGCTGGCCCACCATAATACTCTGCACACCAGTGAGACCAGTCTGACAATGGAAGGCAAATGTCCTGTCCCAGCCAGCACACAAAGGTGCTGCAATTACCTTTTGGAAAAAAGTTTTCCCCATGTCTGCACACTGTACTGTTTATCACAGGTATTTTGCAGCCACCCTGCTAAAGATCCAACCATTACCAGAGGAATGTCTCTGCACTGTCCGCGTAGGCACCATGGCGTTTGGTTTTTCGGTTGGATACGTAGTTGTTGCTAATGCAGTACTCTCTGTGTTGCTGTCTGCTGGTGTTACAACTCCAAAGCCAGAAGTCGGGTAACACGTCTGGTACTGACTTTGGCCAAGGATCGTGTACGTAGGATATTCCTGTTAGAGGAAAGGATTAGTTATGATAGGACACTTTCAGAAAACACTCTGTATTAAGATCACTTTTATGCCAGAATATGCCTGTCAAAGAGAAATCCCAGCACGAGCAGTCTGACTTTATGCTGTTTCTTTCTGCATATGCAAGACATCCCCCAAAAGGGTTGAGAGATCTGACTTCCCAACGGGCACCCGCACAGGCAGGTTCTGCAGACAGGAGGCCAGCAACCACAGGGCCACTTCTCTGCCTCCAGTTTCTTAAAAAATGAAATTCATTATGAATGATGTGACAGTAACAGGGGAGTATTGAGTGGATGCCAAGGCATCAGTCCACTCTGTCTGTGCTCTGGAATTTGTGGGTTTGTCTTGCATTTTATTTTCTGATACGAGATGTACTGACAGTGACAGAAAGTGGTCTTGGCACTGGCTGAGCGTGCAATCCCAGCCACAAGAGCTACAAGATAAACTGCCTTTACTCATGTCCTGACTTCAGCAAGCAATTATTTTGCATGCTGTGATGAAAGGCATCCATTTATGAAGTCTGTTTCCTCATTTAGGAGGAGATCACTGAGCATCTAAAGCTGTGCTTGAGGATTTTAATTTCTGCTACTGACAGTAAAGAAAGCAGCCATCCCAAATGTCATGTCACGCTCTTCTGGCACACTGTGCACTCCCAATTCCCTCAAAGAGCAATCTGGATTTGTGAACCAGGCACCTTGGTCTGCACTACTGAAAGAAAACCTTTTTTCCCCTTACAGGTCCAAGCAAGCTTATGTTAATGAAAGAACCTTAAAAAGCAACAGCATAAGCATACAAGGATTTTTGTGCATCCATTGCATTTTCCACAGTTCCTGTATTCTTCTTCTGCAAAGTTGTGACATTGAAGGGTTCCTTTGTATATCTAAATATTCAGAATGGCAGTTAACCACTGACAGTGCTATGTATTACACACAGCAGGCCAGTCAGGGGGAAGGGCTCTGTGCTAGCTGCAGGGCTTCTTGACTTTGTTTTATTCTAGCACCATCAGACTGCACCTCCTACTTTACTGGGGTTTTTTTGTTAGTTTTGTTTGTGTACAACCTATTTTCCTTTTCTTGCTGAGGGAGAACAAAGGCATTCAAAAAACATCCACCTATAATCCTCCCTGTAGGTCTGGTTCTCAAAATAGTTCTATTGTTTCTTCTCCACTGTCTCTCTTGCAGAGATCTCAGTACCCTGTTCAAGATTCACCACACAATCTGCAGACAAGGAAACAGCTTTGAACAGATGAAGTGAGTTTGTTGTGAAGGCCAAAGGGAAAAGTGTCATGGTCAAAGAGACAGCGAGAGTAATTTTGCTGACTTTGAGTAACACACTGAGCCTTATAGCTCTAGTACCCATTGTGCTCCATTTGAAGTGATGCAAATATTTGGCCTTCCTTTGTTAGTTTCGAGTAATGTGTTAAACAAAGGTGAAGGAGATGCTGCACATAAATATAACAAGGAAGAAGTTTTACCTGTGAGATGCTGGCTACTGCTGATGTGGAAATATTGACAACAGTTGAGGATGTAGAGACTGGACTGGCATTGGTAGTTGATGCTGTAAAATTAAGAATTACTGCATTAAATGCTTCTAGAAAAGCACAAGAGATGAGACTAATCCAAGTTGTGAAGTAAGTACTTACTAGGCTTATGTGCAAGCATTTGTGCTTCCAGCAGCACTCTGCTTGTAAGAGCCAAAAAAGAGTTAGGGTGTATTTTGGAACCAGTTACATCTCAACTGGGCTTACAGGGAAGGATAGCTAGCATATCTTTAAAAACAGTACTTTCAAATGTTTCAGAAACCTTTTCCCTCCATGCCTGCTAAGCAACTAGAGTACAATTAAAATGGTTTCACATCTTTACTAAAGGTTTTGAGAAGACAACAATCACATTCTGATGTTCAATTAGTAGCAACTGAAAATTAATCAGAATAAATCAGTAAAATGGATATGAATGTGTTTAAATCAGCTCCGATAAAAAAAAAATCTTTCTGCATTGGACTTAGCATATTTAGTCTAATTAGATCAAAAAATTTAAGGAAACAGTAAAAATATTTCAAATAGTATAAAAAGGGTGCTTCCTACTGGAGAAGGCAAATGTATCTTCCCGTATCTCTGTGAGACTACAACTGGTTTTTGGATGAGAATTTCTGAAATAATTTGTCAACAGCTTGTAGGACAAATTATTAGAGACATGTAGTAGTTAGTATGAATTTTAAGATGTTCAATAGCCTTCATGTCACTGCATTTGCTTCTTCCAAAACACAGAAGAGGCTGCTAGAGCACCATCTGGGAACACCAGTCATTTAGCAGATTTTGTGGGTTTACAGCCACAGAGCCACTCCATTAAATGTTACTCCACATGGGGTTTTGGGACCCTCAAGGATTAATGAAAACAAATAATGAAATCAGTATGAAAACAATCAGGATGTACTAAATCAGGTGCCACCAAGAAATATTTTCTTTTGCTAAACCTTCTTTCCCTGCACACAAACAAAACTAAAAATCACTTTTAGATGCTTATGAAAAGACTTCCAGAAATCCACGGTATCACCTACTTTACCATCACTCTGAGAAAAGCCCTCACTTTCTGCAAATAACACCCATGTGGAATTCACCCCAAGACTGAAGAACTCAAACTTCTGAAGACTTCAGTCTTTCTACCCCAGGGAAACAGACTCCACCACGAACTCTTAATCAATGTATGTTGTGTTACGGCAAGCACAGATACTACCTGGTGAACAGCTCCTGGAAAGAGGAATGGATCCAAAATATGCCTCAAAAAAGATGAAAAAACAAAAGAAATATATCTTAAAAGAGGTGCAGAAATACACAGTATTTACAAGAGGTGAGAAACGTGAAGGGTGGCATCTCTGCGGAAGCAGAAACAAAGGTAAGTAATTAGCCCCTGGGAATCCCCTCAGATAGGAGCAGCAGCGTTCAAAAACAGATGGGAGAGAATTTTGGGGGGAGAACATTTAGGAAAAGGAAAAAAGGCTGCACTGAACAGCAATAATGGTAATGAAGATACTCAAGTACCTACAGTAGCTATGCAGCCACTAGAAGCAGAGCTGTGAGAGTAAGGTACCCGTCACAGATACTCCTCATAAGCAACTGCTAGAGAACAGGGGTTCGTTTCCAAATAAGACTCCTTCTAACTATACACGTTACGGAAATGATCAAGGCTATTATTACCTTAAGAAAATGTCACCTCCTAGGGCACTGCGAAGAGCAGGTCTCCAGAAAAGATCCTCGCTAACGCAGAACAAACCTGCTGCAAAGCCAGAGGAGACGAACTATCTAGAAGACACATTATTCTACCACCTCTCTCAAGATTATCATGGAGAGCAAACAGAAAGCAATTCTCATCTGTAGTGCTCTGAAGAGGCTGCTTCTCAACTGAGGTAGATAACAGAAGTTAAGAAATCATAGAAAAAAAGATTCCAAGTGCTGGGATTCTGGTAAAAACAAAGATTCCCTCATATGAACTTCACTGTTTATCTTAACACTGGTCTCCTTCCAACATTTCTTTTCTAATTACCCTTTATCTATACAGTGTTACACATCAGATCTTTACAAGCAGCGCCCACTACACAGATTAACCAATTCTTTCTGCACTGTGGGTCAGTTGCTTTTACTTGTGAATGCGCCAAAACCATGCAAAAATGTTTTGACACAGATGTGACAAAAGGGACCACTTCATGGTCTCAGGTTTAAAAGATCAGCAAACACAAGTATTGCCTTGAAACCGCTGTGACTTTTTCTTCTCTCCTCTCTTTCCTCCCCACTTCCAGACCCCATCTTCAGACCTTATATCCCTACCTCCCCTGCCTTATTCATCCCATTCGGTTTTGCTTCATTCATTAAGTTTCAACCTGCTTCATGTGCTGGGAAGGGAAATTGCAATTAACGCATTTTATGTTTCACTTGGCTGCTTTGCTCTCACAGGGAAGGAAGAGGCGCGGCAAGAAGCAGCCATTCTTCTCACGTCGCTCCCAGTGCTTCCAAGTGCCTCTGCGATGTACCACTGTGGCCACAGCTCAGGTGAGTACAAAAAGCAAAATTCTCAGTCACTAAGTGTATCTGACCATTTACCAGGGTTCAAATATCCCATTACTTCAGTCCACCATCTGCAGACTAAACCATACCCATGCACTGGGACAGCAGCATCGTACAACTGTGTATCACCCTACTATTTTGACTGGAGAGAAAAAGATAGATTTGCAAGAGATTACTAATAAAGCAACATTGTCCATCCTTCCAGCTCCTGCTCTCCACCACCTCCCTTGCACAGGCCCAAGTACTGACCTGACCCCTCAGTGGGCTGCTTGCTAATTTGACAAAAAGGAAATGTAGCAAATCTGAAAAAGGATGAGTTTCCTGCCAGTTTGCAAAAAGTTTTTCAAAAAAGTGGTAGCATTTACACAATTCAGGTGACTTTTTCACACTTTCAAAGAGCAGCCTGCAGGGAAACTCTCCTCAAATCACACATTCTCACAGCAGCGTGGATCAAATGGCTTGAAATCTTTCTGCAGAGCGAGGCCTGATGGTGGCTCTGTTACCTCACCGATCCCCAGGGATTCACATGCTTGCCATGGTACCTCACTGGCAAACCTGCCAGAGGTCACATTCTGCAGAACCATTTCTGACCCTTGGTAATTAAAGCTGGTGCTATAATTCTGGTGGTGGGAGTACCTCAAGGAAAGTTACAGTTGAAGGAAGGTAGTATTTCCACTGTTGCATTGCTCATGTTATAAATGTGAAAAGTAAATTAAGGATAAATATTACACTGGGCCATTACTGTCACAATGATGCAAGCTGAGCAAGTACCATGACATACCGCCTGGCCTTCCTATCAGTGAAAGATATGTTAAAATCCACTTATTGCTAATTTTAAGAATTATTCCCCTTTACTTGGCATTCATTAGACCACATCTGGATATGGCATTCAGTTTGGGGCCTCAAGCACAAGAAAGATGTTGATAAAATTCAGTGGGTGTGGCAAAGAGCCACCAAAATGGTCTGGGAGCTGGAGCATGTGGCCTGCGAGGGGCAGCTGGGGGGAACAGGACTGTCCAGCCTGGAGAAGAGATGGCTTTGGGGAATCTGACTGCAGCCTGCTGGTACGTGCACGGAGGTTATCAAGAAGACAGAGCCAGGCTCTTTTTGCAGGTGCACAGCAGGAGAAGGAGAGAAACAGTCACAACGTGAAAGAGGGGATGCTCTGAGTTGACAAAAGAAAAAAAGTTTCACCATGATGACAGTCAGGCACTGGAATTGGTGAAATCTCCACCCTCGGAGGTTTTTGAGACCCAACTGGATAAAGCCCTGAGCCACCTGGTTCTGAATTCAGTGTCAACTCTTCTTTGAGCAGCAGGTTGAACTAAAGATCTCCTGAAGTCCCTGACTTATTCTATGAAAGTATGACACAAGAAATAGATTAAGAATTCCTGAAATTCTTTTTAAAAACTACAGAGAAAGAGACAAATTTTCACAATTCAACACCCAAACATAAACGGCAAAAAACCTACCTAAAAAAAAATAATCAATTTGCACATATTTGCCATAAGCAACAATATTCCATTATTCAGCTAACTGGCATATTTGCTCCTAAAAATTGCTTTGGAAGCTAGCGAAATTCAGCACCTGGCTTCTTAGATGTGGCACTTCCAGCAGCTGGAATATTTGTAAGCTAGTTCTATACTGAGAAATTCACTTTCTAGCAGATCTACCAACTGGGGTGGGGGAGGGATGTTTGTAATATATGAAAGCCATCTACCTCCAGAATTAATTAACAAAAAAAAACACAAAAAAACCAATGGCAGTCAGTGTATTTCCTCACATCAAGCTAAAGACCACCAACAAAGAGCGTGAGCTGCAAGAGCATTCCCAGTAAAGGCATGCAAGAATACAACACTTAGTTTCCTATCCCCTTCCCATTTGCTCTTCACCCTGTTAAGTCCATCAGCATGGCACCAACAAGCCAGCCTGGTGCATACAGAGGTATGTAGCAAACACAAAACCACACATACACACACACAAAGAGAAAAGAGGCAAAGCATAAAGAAGCATGCACAAACCAAGAACAAACGTGCAAGCCTCTCTGTTTGTGGTATCTGGACTCAATTAGGTGGAGAGAGATGCAGATAAAAACCATGCCAAGTTACCTTCAATGGAATAAGAATAATGTGCTGGGCTGGGCTGGCTTGTGGTTAACCCTGTAGTGCAGGTAAGAACACTGTGCTGACTTGTAGATGGAGTCTGAATTAAACCACTTTCAGGTTTCATACCTGGCCACAGTGCACCTGAATCAGATAAATTGGACCAGTTACAAACAAATATGCTGGGACCAAACAGCATGCTGCTACCTCAGATTCAGATTTTTGCTTGTCACAAAAGCAAGTAACAAATCACACATGGAAAATGTTTAACTTCTGCAATAGTAAGTGCTGACTGTCAGGCTGTGCATGGATTAGAGCTGCTGACAAAACTGGCTGAAAAAGAGAAAATTAAAAGCACCAACAAGACCAATTTCCAAAGCTTTCAACTAAAAATCTATTAGTGTCACAGTAAGATTCACTGCCACGTCGGTATAAAGGAACTGCTAATCCCTCTGATGTTTGGACTGAGTTGCACAGCACTGCAAACAACCTCAGCTATCACATAAGGAGGCTGAAGTTGGTACCTATTAAGGTCAAGGTCAATGTTTCCACTACTTCACTGGGCTTTGGGTTGAATATTTGAAAAGAAGCCACAAGTCAGTAATTTTCATAGACTGACAACAGTGACTATAGAGCTCAAAAAAACCCGGGAAAAAAAAATTCTAAATTTTTCTTCTAGATTTCCTGCCATTCTGGAAAGCATTCGTAATAACACTGGGCAAAGCACAGAGAGAGCAAAGTGACTGTAATTCATCTGTACAAGGCATACATAAGCAGTGTGGTTTCAGCTCAGGTGCTGTGTTAAGGCCTAGTCTACTGCACTGACAGGGTGAAAACAGTATCTGACTGAAGTAGCTCAGCTCAGGCCTGGTTCTTCAGGGCTCTTCAGGCTTTTGTTTAAGTGTTTCCAGACCTACAGCCAAAGTCAAAGGCATTTCTCCCTGGCCCTGGTTAGAAAGCAGGACTATCACTTCAGAGGATCTACTTAAAAACAAGCAGAAGTGTGCAAAGCAGACGGACAAAGGCTGTTTGGAGCTAGACACAAAGTTCAGGGCCAGCAGAAAGACCACACTCCTTCTTAACCCCCCCCCCCAAAAACAGTACCAAGGCTGCAAAAGCCAGCTGCAGCCTTTCACCCGCTCTAGCAGGACAAGCCACAGGCTGTGAGTTCTAAGTCTCTTACCCAGAAGACATGAAAGACTCTATAGAGCTGGACAAGAGCAGCAACTTCAAGAGCTCGCTCCATGCTGCAGCTTTGTCAGAATTAAATTCTGCAACGGCTCTTTGATTTACTTACATACCTGATCTCAAACTGTCACCTATGAGTCAAATTAAGTCATTCACCTATCTGTACAGCCGCACCAGGGTTTTGATTCTTTGACTCTGAAGTTGCATCTTCGTTACTGTTTCAAACCTCTAGAACCGTGATAATCAGCAAACAAAACAGAAGACTGATTTAGGAAAGACTGTAGATATATTGCAGAAACTCCAAAATAAAATGTATGGGAAACAGATCCTCTAAGGAGAGTGGGAGTAGCTGTATTTGTTTAGTCTGGAAAGGGAGAGCCACAATCTTCAAATAGGTGAGTAGTTTTTAGAGGGGACAGTAACCAACTTACACTGCAAGACAGATGGACAAGGAGCAGACAGCAACATAATGAGACAGTCACAGAACACACAGAAGTACCTAATAACTGTGACAATGAAACATAAACCAACTCTGAAAGCTGCAGGATAATTATCACGAGAAGTGTAACACCAGGTCAGGCACAGACATCAGAGGTGTTTGCAGGGTTGGCTGGATGCGAGTGCAGGAGCTGATTCAGGTCGTGTGCTAAGGCATCTTTCAGCCTCGCTTTCTATGACTGTCTCTTTGTCATCTCTCAGTATAGACACATTCTACTTTCCATACAGCAAGGCACACTCTTGGCCTGGTGGCACATATCATTCCCTCTTGCTCTGCAAGACAGCATTTATAAGCTAGCACAGCCTCAAGGATGACACAGAGGAAGCCGGCCGAGGGAGAATGAGACCCCTCCATGACCAATGGCAGCACTGCAGCTGGAGCAGAATGTCACAGGACATATGTACGTATGTGGAAAGGCCCCATACAAGACAGCCCATCACCCGTAGTTTTTTCTTGAGTTAATGTAAACCATCACAACCACAGTGTTTCTAACACCAACTTACAGCCACACATATACAGGTTGTATGTCACCACTCTTATTTTAAAGCTTCTTTAATAAAATCTCTCCAGACCACAAGTATGTCCCATGCAGAACAATGCACTAAACAGCATCAAAGTATTACAACACAAGGAGAGGTGACAAATTGGCAAGAGCATAGGTCATCTCTTCTCTGAAAGCAGCATCCTGACCTGAGGCATCTCAAGACGACCCCTGTGTTTGTCAGCTTGCTTGAATTTCATATTTAAAATACATTTGCTTTGTTCTAGTTAGATAATCCATGATGCCTTCTTTTTGGCATAGAAACAAATACACAGTAGAAAGTCATGCAAACCTCTGGAACAGGCCCTTTGATGCTGGTAAAACATCTGACCAAGCTGGCCAAGCCCTCACCTGCTCAATGGAGACTTTGTGAGCAGAAACAATTTGTAGAATTTCCTCTGCACTGCATGTTCAGTCCTCTACCCTCTACCTGTACATCACACCATACAAGGTCCATCTTCTCAGTATGACTGAGCACGTACCACTCCAGTATGATTTCCATTACTGGAAATATGACTTTTAACATCTTCCTAACACTAAAATTCAGACTAAAAATTCAGGTATTTAATAATAGACCTCAAAATCCATACCAAGACATTTCAGTAACTGATGACATTTCAGAAGATGTTTAACAGACAAAAGTTCCTATGAAGTCAACAGAAAATGCTCGTCTCTTGCCTAGGTCTTCAGAAGAATTTCTGCTGTTACATTCAGAGTATAACACTGAAGCAGCCAAGTACACCCAAATTCCAGAACCTTTGGATTAAAAAAATCCAACACCCCGCCCCCCCCAATACAGTCACCACCACTATCACCAACAAAACATCATACACACAAAAAACACTAACAAAACCCCCTACATCCTCCCCCCCAATATTTTAGAAGTAAGTCTAAAACACCTTTTTAGACATTTTGACCTAACACTTCAAGGGAGCATTCCACCTATTTACACATATTTGCCTTTAAAAAAAACCCAAAACATGACACAGTAAAATACCTAAAACATACAAAGCAGCCTCATTGCATTGTCCACAACAAACACCAAATAAATGAAGTGAAGAAAACCACCAGCCACTGTTCAGACATAGAAAAAAACAGTACAAGGCACTGAAACCAAAGTGCAGGCACCCAGGGAACAGAAGTGTGTTCCACCAACCATAACATGGGGTTGAGCACAGTTTGTAGGTAACAGACCGTTGTGACAACACCCAACACTACAACTGGACAAAAAGAAAGGGAACAGAGCGTTTAGAAAGAAAGCACACAAACTGCAGTGGCAACTGAAGACCTGGGTATGGACACAGCATCAGACTTCTGCGCACAGGTTCAGCTTTCCAGTGAAAAGCTCTCCTGGGGGAATGAAGGGAGCTCAGAAAACACAACAGGCAGAGACCTTCAGCTCCCCAAGACACGTAACACAGGGTAAACTAGGTCCTCGTCCACTAAAAATCCTGAGATCACCATCATGGCAGGTGGTGGTTGGTTGTTTTTAAAAATCTCTGAAACAGCAGTCATATTTGAACCTTACTGGCAGGGGCTGAGCTAGAAACGCAGAAGCAGCAAATACCAACAGCCACCCAAATGACCCTATTCTTCTGAAGAGCCTTGAGTTGCTAATAAAACAGCCCAACACTTACACCCTGCTCCCACTTCATGGCAATCAAGTGATCAGTCAGAACAACGTATCTCAGCATTAATAGTGGGCAAATGAGATTTGGCAGATACTGTTTGATCAAACCCTTGCATCCCAGTTACTACAAAACCATCATTTTCTCCTAAGGATCCCTCAACCACAAGAAAACTCCTTTTCATGAATCCCAGGCGTAGATATATGAAGGAAAAAAAAAGGTATGTAGATTCATTTTACATATTGACCTTTCTCATAAAGATAACAGTTTGTGCCTTAATAAACAGAATTAGTAATGTAACTTATGTCTAATAAAACTAAGCCTAGTTGTATCATCTTTTCTACACCATCTTTCAAAAATACCACGACGAATCAATTGCTTTGTAATTTATAGAAAAGTCCTTGCTGTGCCAGCAGCTAACAAAAGCCATAAATGTGGCTGGGTTTATTCAAAGGCATCTAGTTCTTCAGCTAAAGAAAAATTCATCCTTTTACACTTCAAGATACTAAGATTTTAGCACTACAGATAACTCTTTAAGAGGCTCTGTTTATGTAGTTATGCAGCATGACCACAAGCTCCTGAGACAGACACTTCATGGCTATCTCACAGCTGCACAGCTCACTGACTGCACACGTGGTGCTCCTCCAGGTGACTTGCATGGAAGGTCGATGGTCTCCCCTCTCATTAGAGCTAGGTGCTAAGGGGCAAAACAGCCTCCACCACCATGCACTTTTGAGAGCTGGCAACAATATACAATATTTACATATGAAACCAAGCAGGGCAACATAAAAAATGAAAACAGAAGTTAAAATGTTACTTTTGAATAATCAGTCATAAAATTTCATACCTGCAGGGGATAGTCAATCGTGTTTTTTTCCCCAGTGCCTGATGCTTTAATACACAGAGTACAAGGAAAGACCAGGCAGCTCCTTTCACTAGCTAATCCACCCGGAAGTTAGATGTCTCTGTCTGCACTACTCATCCTCAACTCCCTTTATACATCATGGAGAAAGATGGCCATTATCTTCTAAAACAGACCAACACCCCAGAGGTGTGTCTCTCCCTCCATACACTATAAAGGAAGCACAGGGTGCATAGCTCAAACCCTGTCATCATGCTTTAGCTGCTCAGTTATGACAGCACTCTTATCCTTCAATCATTTGCAAAAACTGGAATGGCTAATAGAGGGCTCAAGTATTAGAGCAACTTAAGCCAATTTGTTTGCCTAGTAAACTTGGAGACATTTTAGCATGAAATCTACATTTGGTGAAAGATGAAATAACAAAAAAATCTCAATCCTGGCCAGGAAAAAGGAAAGGAAAAATACCTTCAGCAGAGATGCTGTAGTATGGGGTCTTGTGCGACTTCACTGACAAGGAAACTGCACAAACACAGCTATACCACAACTAGAGAAAATTATGATCCCAAACTAAGAACCATCTGGCAAGTTTCATGGGGAGACATCCGAATTAATGGCCAGGAAAACAGCTTTGTAAGAAATAATATTTTATAATACGAAGTCCCATCAGTACTGTAGATACCGACCTACAATTTTAAGTTAGACATGTGCTCTCATACAAACTCCTCTCTCCAACATAACTGTTTAAGCTTAACATTGGCTTTTTAATGAGACATAAGACAGTAACTGCAGGCACTGAGAAGTCTTTGAAAGGTTACTTCTTACCAAAAGGAGGTAGTCCGTAGGTTTGGGTGGTCTGGGGGTAGATGGTGTAGGGCTGAGACTGCTGTAGTGCTTGGTACTGAGTCTGACCAGGGTAAGGGGTCATTGTTTCCGATACAGGTACAGAAAGGATATGTGCATATGGCCTTATTAAAAAGAAAGAACAAAAGTAAAAAAGAACTATTTACATTATGCATCTTTCAGCCTCCAAACCAGAAGACACATAAAAAAATTGCTTCAGGAAGAAGAATCAATACACAGTGACATGAGCTCCTAGTGTAATACCTGCTTGAATTTCCCAGTACGACAGGCTCTTGGTTTTATGTATGCTGCCTGTTTCTTGCCGTGACACCAGGGAAAACACTCTTCTCCATGATGCCAGAGCACTAGTGCTTATTCCTGGACTGGGATGGCAGGGCAGGAGGGGAAGAACAAACTCCCCATTCCAACAGGCACAAGCTATTAGTTTCCCTTATCATGCCTCACAACACCAAATCCTAAAGCTAATACAATATAGTAGTGCATGTCAAAACAAGTGGAACACACAAAGAGACTACACAAAAGCAAGCACGGGGGATTAAGGCCTACTATGCTACAATGGGAGGAATTATTAAGATCCCCAAATGTGGTAAATGACCAGAAAATCCTATATTCCCCTTATATTAATTTATGTCCAGTTTGTTTGTTCCTCAAATATTATGGGCATTATTCAACAGGACTATTGTGTTGTTAATTACTTGAAGTGGCTCATTTATCCTTGTGATCATAAGACAACAGCCACTGAAGCCAAAGGGTGACTTCTATCAGCTTCAGTGTCCACAGCAATGAGTATCTGTTGCCAGAAGACATGAAAGTGTGATTTACGGCATTACAGAAATGCATAAAGATGCAAAAAGATAACTTCAGAAAGAGTTACAGCATTTAGTAACAATTGTTCGACTTACTTTGCAGAATACATTTGTGAGGTATAATCATTTGATGACCTTGGGATATATTCAGTGCATGTCATAACTGGAAAAAAAATAGTTTGTATAGTTACACAGGCAATTTCAAAACCCAACAAATAATGACAATTAAGTATCAGCATGCACAGTACATTTTAACCAAGACATAGGATTTACAAAGGTTTTTTAGTGCCTTGAATATCTGTTTCAAAGCAAATTCTCATACCATGCACTGTTAAAACAGCACAAAAATATTTTTCTTGCCAGTTCACAGCATGTAGATGATTCAGTCAATACTATTTCTCCCTTTGTAACAGTGCTCTTTCTCTTTACCAGCTGGTACCATCATCTTTTGCAATTCTCGTGAAAAAACTGATTTCAGCCCTGCCCAAAACCTTACATATACCAAAGGGTCTTCATCTGTGCTAAGCTTAACATTTCTTTTCTGTGTCCCAGAGCAGAGACCAAAGCAGATGCTTGTTTTGCCAAGCTTTCCTCTTCCCTTCCCTTTTCTATATACTCTACCCAGAGCATGACTCCAGCAATCTGTTTTTCCTTTAAAAATGAGTGGCTCCCAGCTCAACAAACTTAATCCCACACATCAAGTGACAACAGGTGGAGCTGCAGTGCATAAGGCTCAGAGTTCAAATTCAGATGACCTCTAAAGAAATTTGGCAGTTATATTTAACCGGATGTTTCCATTTTTCTGCTTGAATAAATCCACAGCAATTGCACTCTAAAACTGGTAAGAAAGAGTCACTCAGGCTGCAAATCCAAGGAGTAAATGTTCAAAATCTTCTCACTTAGCACTGCCTATGGCTCTAGTATACCCCATCCATGACAGTTCTTAATTAGAGCATTCTGGGTTGGGGTGAAGGGGGCTTGAGCTGGTATGTCTTAACCCAAGAACCATTAAAAAAAACCCCTGGATTCAGATGAGCTGACCTGATAAATACTCAGCTGCCCATCAAACTAGTAAAGCAAGGACATGCAGGACCCCTGACACAGAATTTGGCACTGTACAGCCCCTCTGGCACATGCCACCCCCATAACTGCAGTATGCTGCAGTGATCTCCAAGGTAGATGACTTTTGTGACTTTAAATCTGCACAGTACGTGGGTTTACCAGTTTGGATCTACAAGCACCGTACCCAAAATCTTAGCAGCTGTGCTGCTGTGGATCCAGCTTATTCATCTGACACCGGTCTGGAAGCAGGCAAAGCACCCAGGTTCCAACCCTGCCTAGGAGGGGATCCAGGATAAAAGTGTATCTCTCGTATAGGTCCAGGGGCCTGGATCTTCCATCACTAACATGACAAAAGATTGCTCTTTCCTTCTCCCTTCTGGAGTGAGACTCACCTAACAGCCTTCAAAAAAAAATATGGTCACAGATGGCAGCATACTTTGCCTTGGGATTTGCTCCAGGTGCCAGTGATGTGCTCCAAGTTGGGCTTTCCCTATCTGGAACAGTCCTACAACAGTCCTACAACATCATTGCTCTTGTCTCATCATGTAGTTAGCTCTCTTATCAGTTACATCCACTAAGGGGAGCAATTTAGTTTGCACAGGCAACCCTAACTGTACCATTTGCATTCTGCTACCTAAATAACGTTCTCTTAATGTAATCTGAGCATAAGCGGCTGAGAAATACAAACCATCAGCCATACGCTCTGCACCTTCTGAATGCTCCATGAATCACCTCCCTCTAGTCCTCAGTGTTTGCCTTTACTCATGGTGTGAAGCCCATGTAGTACAAGGATACAACAGGAAACACAAACTGGGAACTCTGGAACCTAAGGGCTTTCATTCAATACTTGTCAGATATCACATCCCTCATGCAAAAATGTCTTTTTTTTTTTTTTTTAAAGAATGTCAATATTCATCTGAATAGTAATGTAGTAATGGTATTTCTAGAATTCTTATTTTTAAAATAGCATATAAAGAATCAGGTAATGGTGTAAAAAAGAAAAAGCCCACAATATTACTGCATGCAGCTTCTGGAATCTCTAAGTGACTTATCCGGTTAGGCAGCAGATTTTGCAGGCTAAAACTTCTGGTAACTCCTGCAACTGCAACATCACAGCACATTGGTTAAAATAGTAAAGATGCAATCAGTTAGCAATGGAAAGTTACACATTACATATTTTCAGTCAAGTTGAGCTGATTTACACTTATAAATAAGTATGGGTAGTCAAAGGTATTCTACACAGGAATCCTACTTTTGTAATAACCTCCAGCCCTCATTTTTCAGAAGAAAGGATAAATTCCACGTCTCACTTACTATGCAATCTTTTCTGCCTCAGTTTCTCCTCTATTAATTTCATAAGGAATTTCTGCAGACATTCAATACAGTTCAGAATGTAAGATTAATTGTATGGCATAGTATTACAAAAGACCCAACCACCTGTGTAGATATAATGATTTATAAAAATAACATCTTTTAGAACAGACATTATTATTGATCAACTGAAGCCCTTCCCTCAAGAAAAATCATGTATAAGGCAGATAAGACATAGCAGTACCCAGCAGCAAGCTGACACAAAAAAATCTGTTAGAGGCATTTGCTTACTATCAGGCACTAACGCTTTGTAAGCACCACAGCAAACTTTCACTTTACAATTGATAGTGAGAACAGGCTAAAGATTACAAGGAGGAGACAAAGCTTGTGCTTGATGAAGCAAAGTAATGAGACCAGAGGAAGAAAAGAGGAAAGCCAGTGGTAGCAGAACTCCAGAAGATACTTACTCTCACTGGACATGGGAAGGTTTGAACCAAGGCTTGAAGATTCAGGTTTCTGATCGCTGACTTCTGCGTTGCTCACATGACTGCCAGGACAAAGACTAACTGTTAGCATTATGAACTCTTACATTAACATCCTTGGGCATCGTAACCGCTGGGTGCAACCTTCCTAACCAAGGCAAACTGACTCTTAGCAGAAACTACCTCTGCACTCTTTGATATTTCACACAGAGATCCCAAGAGAGAGATTTGCATCTCTAATTAGACATTAAACTGTTATCATCTCCAGCACATTTACTCACCAACTGGTCTTTCAAGATAAGGCTGTAGACTCACTGACAGCTCAGCAGACCTAGCAGCTTGGGAGCCACTGCCTGCAATGGCAAGTATGAACTTCTCTCCTGCTGCCTGGGCACAGCCTTCTGCTCCCCTCTGTCAGCTCAGGCACCCTTCAGGCTCTCCATGAGAGTTTAATTTGCTCATCCAGCACAAAAACTCTGCAGTTATTTTTGCTGGGATACTGAATAGACTCAGCTTTTGGAGGAATCCAGCAAGCACCATGCTTGGTGCACACTTGAACTACAAGCAGAACTCCCCCTCTCAGCAGTAATAAGCAGTTGTATTGGCTCCTTCACCTTGTAAAACTGCAGCCTGAGAATATCTGAATAACACACAGATGCCCCAAAACTTTATGAAAAGATGTGTTGCAGAACTAGCAATAATAAAACTAAAGCCAACAAGGCAATTATAAAAGGAAAAAGCAGTTTCATTAAGAAATTATCTGTACTTCCTACTCTACATATAAAGCAAACATTGACAAGTAACTGAAATGGTGCATGAAAAATCCAAAATAATCTAGTAACCCACATATATTTCTTAAGTACAGAAGTGACAGCCAGTTCAAGGATGCTTGTCCTGGTTTCAGCTGGGATAGAGTTAACTGTCTTCCTAGTAGCTGGTACAGTGCTATGTTTTGAGTTCAGTATCTGAAGAATGTTGATAACACTGATGTTTTCAGTTGTTGCTCAGTAGTGTTTAGACTATAGTCAAGGATTTTTCAGCTTCTCATGCCCAGCCAGGGCACCTGACCCAAACTGGCCAACAGTGTATTCCATACCATGGGACGTCCCATCTAGTTTAGGAACTGGGAAGGGGGGGCAGGGAATCGCCACTTGGGGACTGGCTGGGTGTCGGTCGGCGGGTGGTGAGCAATTGCCCTGCGCATCATTTGTACATTCCAATCCTTTTATTACTACTGTTGTCATGTTATTAGTGTTATCATTATCATTATTAGTTTCTTCTTTTCTGTTCTGTTAAACCGTTCTTATCTCAACCCAGGAGTTTTACTTCTTCTCCCGATTTTCTCCCCCATCCCACTGGATGGGGGGGAAGTGAGTGAGCGGCTGCGTGGTGCTTAGTTGCTGGCTGGGGTTAAACCATGACAATGCTTCAGCACTGGTCTTCAGGGAGAAACCCAGCAGTGAGGCAACCTCCTGTGGACAGAGGAGTCTGTGACAGCAGGGCCACGATATACCACTCACAGTAGCATTTACTTGGCTCCTGCAGGCTGCAGGGAAGGAGAAGCTGAGGAGTGTGTGATATCAACCAGCAGTGCCCTGGTAGCTCCATCCTCCCCTGGACTGCTCCTTCAGGCTGTGACAGGCCCCTTTTGTCCAGCTCCTCGCTCCACGATGGGTTGGAGATAATCCCCTAGGGCAGGAGGTACAGCTTACCTGGGACAGGGTAAGGGGGGAGCTGGCCAGTGAAATGCCATGGGTTTGGTTATAAGACAAGTGAGTTTTCTTCCTTTGGCTGGTGAGAGGAACTGAAGCTTAACCAAAATGTTTTTTCTCCCTGAAAACCTTTATAATCAAAATCCTTGGAAATCTTTCTCAATACTAGTGGATGAACAGACTTCCATAATATAGCATGAGTTTTGCAAGAAAATAACACATTTCTACGGAGATTCAGGCTATTTGTATACTATTATTCTTGGTGGAAAAAAATGCTGTGATTCTGTGGCACAGATAGTCAACCTACAGCTGTTAAATGGCATGAAGTTTGCAAGCAGGTTGAGAGCTGCTCATTATTATCACTTCCCATGGAAAATGTAATAGATAAAATAATGTTTCTGACCATGCTATACCAGCCCATGTTTCTGCTCTCTTTATCACTGCTGCTCCTCAACACATGCACCTGCAGCTCTTGGGACACATCCATCCTAAGTGCTCTTACTCTCCATCATCTACAACTTTTCAACTGTCACAGACTCAGAGAAAAATTCTCACTTGCACTGTGGCTGCCTTGCACCACTGAGAGCATCCCGCAGATCAGCCGAGCATGCTGTATTCACAAAAGCATTAAGACTCTTACAGATGCTTAATGCTCCCAAGAGAGGACCCTCACTGGATACAGCTCTTCCCTTCCCCACTTCCACAATTCAGCTAAAACAAATACAGCCAGAGTATTGACATCGGCTGAAAATCATGTTGCTGAGGAGAAACAGCTCTAAGAAATTATTTAAAATTATTCCATAGGTCAAAGTTAAAATCATATATAGTTTTATCAAAATAGAGCCAGAATATTTAAATAGAATATTTAAGCAGGTTAGAAATGCAATTTTACCCCCCCCCTTCTATTTTTAAATACTATACAAGGATGTTTACACTCAAATCTTGCAGCTACTGGCGCCTGTAGGAAAGCTGTGATTGTACTGAAGCAGGGTAACGCACTGAAGGAGAATCAACACCATTCACCCCAGCACATTGAGACCTGCCCATGCTGTCCCCAGCTCCTTTGTAGCCAACAGAGAGGAAAAAATCCTCTTAGGATATGGTTCATCTCTCCTCATACTGGCTAGAAAGGGAGCTTGCAGTGATTAGCGCAAATTTCTAACTTGTAGACATACAATGAATTTCACTGCTTGCTCACTGTTTCCTGCTAAAGTATTCCCTTCAATTTTTAAAAAAAATACATACTAATGTCCCCATTCAGGGCTTCAATATATCACATCCACTCCTTCATGAATGGCACACACAGTGTTCCCTCCTCACTCACACTGGGATGTCAGAGGCTCCAAAAAGAAATCTTTCTTCACAGTATTTGCTACTACTCACAGGAACAAAATAAACCCTAATATAGCTATTCTCACTATATGTAATAATAGCGATTAATTCCTAAATACGATATACATCAGAAAGCATCTACTGAGGCTAAAAATAGTACAACACAACAGCTTTAAACAGAAGAGGCTATCAATTTGAGAGGGTTTAACTTCTCAAAACAGTTATACACATAGTTTTGCTAAGAATCATAGCACAGATATTATTAAAATATTCTGAGTCTCACCAGAATAAATGCATATTATGTGCAGTACATAACAGCCTCATCAGACTCTGTGAGAAACAGGTTGCTTGATGATGCAATTAAGACTCTTTGTAGCCACTTTTATAAAAGCTTAATACCAAAGGGCCAGTTAATTTTTTTTAGTTGGGAACTTAATCTCAAAATTGTATCAAATACAAAAGTGACTTATATTTGCCCTGTCTCTGTGAAAAATAAAATTATATGCAAGCTTCTAAAATGGAAGCTTAGAATGATAAAAGAACATTAATAACTGTTCCACACTAAAATCAAACTCAAAATTACGTACCTCAAGCTTTGTTCTCTGGATTCCTGCATCTTGGCTTTTTTCACCTGCAAAGACAAAAACATTCATCAACACAACTAAGAGCTGTTCTTGACAGAATCTATGCACACACACCTCCATTAGCACATCACCACTGGTTACTATAGAGTTCACATTAGTGTTTAAATACAGAAAGCCTTGCATTGAACTTCAGAGCTAACCAGTGTAACCATGGGTTCTTCATCTCAAAACAAGCTTTTTCCTAATTAGAAAACAAGTGCTAAAGCTGAACATGTTAGCAAAATTACTATGTTATTTAAGTAAGTAACAGATATGGGATATACAGCTACAAATGTCTGATAAGGACAATTTCATGGACATTGAATAAAACAGTCATAAATTTTAAGAAGATCTTACTCTACACAACGGCCATAAACATGGGTCCTTTGCTTTTTCCCCTCCTCTATTTAAATATTACATAAAGATAGAAACATGAATATTTTTTCTGTAATAAGTTAGGAGTTCCAATTTTCATTGCTGAGTAAAAAACAATACAGCATTTATTCTGTTTTTGTAGGTGGCCAGCTGGATCCAGTTCCTATATAGGGTATTACACAACAGAAAGCACTGGCTTGAACACAAATTTGGTTTTCTGCATGCAGGCAGAACTTTGAAATCGTCGGCAGGATGACAGGGTTAGTTTCTGTAGCCTGTAGTCTTTTGAGCACGATGCTCCTGTGATATACTGGCTTTTCTTTCCCCCACCTTCTCCCTCTAGCAGAAAGTTTTACAGCCTTCCACATTTCTGGAGCATGTTTAGATGCCAAACTTGCTGCTTCGGTAGCCAGCTGCACTCACCGTTCATCCTGGTCCCCGCAGGGCACTTAGCAGACAGCACTGTTTAGCACATCTTCTGTGAACGGGGTCTGGGAAGGTATGTGCTGGGTATCAGGCTGTAAAGCCCTCCAAGTCGGACACAGTAGTCAAAGAAAGACTGTTGCCACATATGAAACCCACTAGCATAAAAACTTCATCATGTTATTCAAGTTTGTCTCTCTCAGGTGAGTAAAAATAAAAAGCCAGGAAAACGCAATTTAAGCATGAGAGGTCAAAATGTGTTCAAAACCTTTTTTAAAAAATAAATTAATAAAATACAGGTGAATTCCTGTTGAGTAGGGGGAGCTGGGAGGCAGAGGTACAAAAAAGGATAAAGACTCAAGGCAGCAGCAAGGGGAAAGGAGTAAGCAAACAGTAAGGATGGAAAGGGGAAAGCTGAAAGGACAATCTTCTCTCCCTGATGAAACTACCAGTATTTTAGAGCTCAGTCTGCTTTCATCTCTGTACCAGTCTTACCAGCAGCTATTCCCTCTGGCATTTCACAGCAGAACACTACAAACTTCATTAGCACTCATCACACACACAAAAAAGGCAAAGGCAATGACAAAACACTATGGCAGTACAATGGCTTAGATATTGCACAGCCTCCAATCTTCTGGCATTCATCACTTCAACCTGAGCAAAGAGCTGTAACACTGGCATTGAAGTTAACTCCTGTTGTGATTCTTTAGCCCCACAGCTTCACAGACTTCTCCAGAACCCCTCTCCTGCCTGGCTGGGAATACACGCTACTTCTGGTCCCCATTGCCATGAGGTCCAGGGACTAAAGGAGCAGTATGAGCCTTCCCCTCCTAAAGATGAAGTTAACTACAGCACTAAGGGAAAGCAGACTAGTGTTCCCCCAGTTCCCTGGGGGAACTGAGTTATCAGAGCATGGCTGCTGCCCATCCATGGTGCCCCTTAACTCCTTTCGGTGTCCTTCTGTCCTGCAGCAGGTGCTCCAGCTCCTCCCTGGGACCCTGCCACCCGCTCCTGAGCAGGGATCTCAGCCACCAACACTGCACCAGAGAGCTCAGGGTACCAAACTGCCCACAGGGTTCTTAAGGAAGGCAGATAGAAAAAAATGAATCACATCAGAAAAAGAAATATCAAACTGCTTCAGACCAAAAGTACATTGAGGATAAAAATAAAAATTAACTTAAGACTTGGCAGCTTGAATTGTGGATTTCATAGGCAGAATGCTGCTGTTTCCAGTCAGGTACTCGATAAAATCTGGCTTCTTCAATTCAGTAGTTTTTTTTAATATGGGAGGTAGACAGAGAAATCAGCTCGCTCACAAAAAAAAACAACCACAAAACCAACCAACTAAACAAAAAAAAACCCAAACGACAAACAAACAAACAAAAAAAACCCCAACAAACAAAAAAGAAGCAAGGTTTTGCAAGAACTCATCAGTTTTATTGACATTTTCATCACAAGCAGAATGGAACAGCTGTTCTTAGAACACCTCTTGATAGTCAGGACTTGAGCTCAAACCACTGTTCTGCTGACTTTGGTTCCTGGACTGGAACTTCTGCCTTGATGAGTATCTACACTGAAAGGCCATCGAGCCTTGTCCTCCTCTGATGGGAGATCTTCCCCCTCTGCCAGAAACATGCCCGTAGTGTTGTACAGAGAACAATATTTTAAATGAGTTTTCCTTTAAGTCAGTAGTTAATTTCTTTTTAAAATATGAATAAATATCTGGAGAGGGTTTCATACTCTCTTTAAACGGCTCTGGAACATGGGATAGCCAGTGCGAGCATGCAGCATAAGTAAAATAAACCAGCAATTTTTAATTTCAATCTATCAGGTTCCTGCCTCAACTGGCTAGCCTTGGCTAGTCCCCACCTCTGTAGATTTTTAAAAGAAATTCTCCCTAACGTCTTAATGCTAAGCAATAACATTTACAAAATCTTGAAACTTTAGTGGGATGCAAACCCTGTTTTCTACCCATCACTAATCACTGCAACTTATGCTACAAATTTAAGTGGGAGGGAACAGTTTTAAAGAGTCTTTCATGAGCTTGGAAAGCATTTTCTCTCTCTCCTGCCACATGTCATAAAACACACTTAATGCAGAAAAGGCACCTAGTGACAATAACTTAAAGATGATGTTCAGGGCACAATAAGAGTGCTACCATGATGTGCTATACTCCCAGCTGAGCCCTGCACGATCACACGCCAACCCCAAACCCTACCTACATGGGCCACCTATTCATCCCCTCCTGCATGAGCTTTAGAAAAGGCTATCGAAACCTCTTCAAACTCCTCTTTTCAAAACACACTTCCCTCTGAAAACCTCTGCAGAGATGCTGAGGGGTTTTTTGTCCCCTCTCAAGTGACAGGGTCACAGAAGACTTTTCACACAGGAGAAATGAATTCATTCTTTTTAAAAATAAGAAAAAAAAAAAAGAAAAAAGACATGAAAACAAGGAAAAAGATGTAGTCTACCTCAGTGATTCAGGTTTCAGCTTTAGCAACTTCAGACATTATCTCACTAAGCTCTCCTGCTGCACTACAATGAATGATGTGTCTCATAAGGTACATCTTTGCTCCTACCTCCATCTTTTTACTTCACTATCAGTTTTGGGCTTATGTTGATTTAAAAAAAAAAAAAAAGTAAAAAAATTAAGTCAAGTGACACATTCTAGCTGATCCGTACTCCCAAATCACAAATTTCTATAACTGAAAATCCAAATTATTCTTTGTGCTGGAAAACTCTATTCCTGCCCCAGATCTACCAGCGCTGCAGTTCAGTTCTATTTACAGTCAGAATCAAAGCAGAAACAAAGTATCCTAACATCAAGATAACAGTTGCTTTATGACTGAATCCAGCTCTTGGACTGGTATTCACAGGCTAATTTCCAAGCCCAAGCAGAACCAGGGAAACCCCCACACTCACAGCTAGCCAACAAGCGAGGCGATGACTTGTTGGAGCAAATGCTGCCAAAGCCATTTAAGAACCCAGCAATGTCGCAAACAGAGGACTGCACACAAGTCAGGAACACAGAATTTTATTGCAAACCCTTTGCCAATTTCAATTAAGAAAAATCTTCAGCCCAAACACATGACCATCGGGTTTTTTCTACAGTTTTGGCAGTGTTGGGTCTTTCTGGAGCCCTTCCCAACATCATGCTCTCCCTATCACTGACTCCGGCTTGCCATTGCTGTCCAATACAGTAAGTTGTTCCAAACTGAAAGCAACCCAGTGGATGTCTGGAATGAGTGTAACCCAAGTTCACCATCCCTTATAAAAAGATTGCTGTCATTTTCTATCATTAAAGATTAAATACAGTATTATAAAATTCAACTACATGCATTCACAATGCATTCAACAACTAAGAGGTTACTATACAGGATTACTTCTAAAAACTAATCCAGATTAATAACATATTATAAATTAGTAATTCTCATTAGCAGGTCAGGAGGTCACTTTCGATCATTTTCCCCCAAACTTCCCTTTGCTGTTTTATTTCCCATGTCTGTTCCTGTTTACTAGCACTGCAGTGTACACAGAAACTTTTCCATTCTGATTCAGGTCTGAAAAGGGAAGAAACATTAAAAAAACAGGACAAAAGACATGCCTGTTTAACATGCCAGGCGGCAGTATGTGAGGTAACTGAGAAGTCTAACATTCATTTCGAAAAGACACACTATACATTTGGACCAATTATTAGCATCAGTCCACACCAACACAAGAAAATGACCTGGTTTCTTTTTTTATTTTTTTTTAAAGTAAAATACTTTAAACTCAAAGCCTGATGACTTTTCTATAGGCTCCTTTCTGGATTCAGTTATCAATAGTTTGCCATAAATATTATTTTTTGAAGTAACATACTAATCTTGTTCCCATGAGTAAGAAAAGCAAAATGATTTGGGAAAGAAAACAAGTTTATACAATATCAATGTGGGGCTACTGGGCAGACAGGATTTTGCAAAGCCGACTTCAGTTTTCTTTTTATTAGGAAAATTAACTTGTTTCAGAAATGGTTTCACTACAAAAAAACCCAAAAAGATTGTTCTTTTCATTTCCTCCTGCAAGAATGTGCCACTATACTCAAAATAATACCACGTCACTTATTAGTTGTGATCAATATAGTCTTATATTCTGTCTCAGAATGACTGACTGGCATAAAATAATTGAAAGAAATTACGAAGAAAATCTTCAGCTGAAAATTACAGCAGAATCGGCTTACAGAGGATGCGTTCATCTACTAAAAATTAGCTCTACCCTGTCTCTCATGCCCTGAAGAATAAAATTTTGTAAAGACAGTTTTTATTGTATAAGGATGTAATTACAGATATTTCCTTTTTTAATACATACATTTAATTCATTTTTACATCCTACAAATATTTGGAGTTCATATTACATGTTTTTGCTGATTAGTTTCACTTTTTGTGCCTATTATGTACATATAATTTGAAGACTGTGTCAAGCAATATTTTGAACAACTGTAAATTTACATTTCCATTTCATTCAACTTTGTTCCTAAGTCATAAAATTGCATAAATGTCATTACAATGTATTTTCTAACTAGTTAAATGAAGAACATAAAATTCTTCCATTAAAAAAGCACCAAAATCTTTTCAATAGGAACATTACCAAATTGCCCTCAGCATATTACTCTATTTTTGTATGCATTTGAAAAGGTCTCCAAAATTAAAATAAGCCTCACTCTCAAGGTAACTTGGCAATTTCTTGTTGAGTTTGCATCAGGTTTAATTTGGGAATTTAATATAAGCTTTTTTGCTTAATTCCTATGCTATTATGTTTCAGACATACAAATTTAACTTTATATCATACTGTATTAATAATTGTTCTACCCAAAACTTCTGTGATTTGATATTATCAGTTACTGATGATACAGACAGTATTGCAAATATCTAACATGTCTGGACAGCAATTTTTAACTTATGTCACAATAAGAATTTAAAAAAATGCTTTCCACCTGTGGAGATGATGAATCATGGGACCTTTTCAAGATCTTAAGCACAAGAAGAATTAAAGACTATATACACTGTAATAATCAGCACGCCGATTCTGTCATTAAAATAGTGGATTTTAATTTCTCCAGAACAGGCTTGAAATGGTCTGGTTTTCTGAGTAATTATTAGGCACAATTTTGCTTAGAAACATTATAGAGTTTAAGCATACATAACTCTTCCTTTTATTACTGTTGCCTGTATGATTATAGTAAACGAAACGTACAACACATTTTACTAACAGCAAAATGATTTTTCACCTA